CGCGTATGTAAAGTTGCCTTAGGCAACGAAGGAAGCCGATATTGGCAAAAAATATCTGCGCGTTCATGTTGCATGCGTTTTGTATTCTTTGCAGATATTTGTATTTGCCTTTGACATGTATAAATATATATATTTTTTTCGACACATATATATATATATACGTATGTGTTGAAAAAATATATCGCTAAATTTTACGGCAAATATATCTATTCCAATATGACGTAAAATTGTCAAGTAAAGAAAAGTCACATTTTAATTGTTAAATCGAGTCAGTGAACTTTTAATATACCTAATCAAAATATGTGTGAATATCTTGAATATATTTTTTAATACTTTTATCGTTATATATCATATTTTATGTTCTCCAGCTGTCGCAAATACACTATACAAACTATGCTATAAGTGATACAAAATATCATATACGTCCATTTACCGTAGTACTAATCAAGCGGAGATTGATAGTCAAGTCAAATTTTCTCGCAAATTGTCGACGATTTGATATTTACATCATCTCGCTTTGGAAATACGTGGCAATCACATTCGCGCCCGACGATCGCAATAGAGTAGCACTCAATAGACAAACCTTGATTAATGGAGATGACAAAATTTTCATTTACAACTGACTATACTCGATTCGAAAAGCCGATCCGGAAACGGACTAATTAACAGATCCATGTTAACGAATCCAACGTGTCAATCCATCCTCTCACGCTGACGCAAAATATTGTATATTTATACGTTATGACGGAACGTCAATTCAAGCATCAAACTCTAACATCTTGTCGATAATATTTTTTAAATTTTTCGTTATCGAAGAAAGAGACAATAAAACGAATTTATTAAGAGATTGATGCCAGCGTCACAAAAATCTTATATTCATATGTTAAAACGAAAAATTTTTATATTATTAGGACACTGAAAAGAAAATCAATAAAATTGTTCTCTCCTATATATATTAAAACTAAAGTCAATTGTTTTTAATAATATAAATATTTCTTCGTAAGGCAAAAATGAAACTGATAATAGGTATATTTTTAACCAGGTTTTGTGAGAAAGACTAATTATAAATGCAGCTGGCATAAACCGGTAGGGAGGTCAAAAACAACGTAGCCCCGAGCTATTTCTTACTTACAAGAGTTGCGCGGTCCGAGTATCACGGACCAATTACACCACTGAATAATTGTCCGAAGTTACGAGTTGCCGTTAACAAGTATAACATCGGAGTACTAACGTGGTTCCGGTTTCTTGGCCCGAATAATTCTACCGGACTATGCCGAGAACTTTGCAGTTGTAAACAGAACTCGAAGAACACTCGCTTTTGTCCCGTTTCCAAAACTCAAGGAGTTAGAAAAAATAAACGTACCATAAAATTAGATAAGATCGCCGCAATAAATAATTCTTTTCACGAAATAATTTACGTAAGAAGATTGCGTCAACTGTGTGTGATTAATCAAATATAAAAATCACGTCAACATTAAAAAAGCTTTTAGATTATATTTCTTGAATTAATTTTAATTAATTTTATAAGAGGAAAGTTTTTCTCTAGATCAGTTATTTAAAGTATTTACAATAAGTAGAGATTCAAAATAATTAACGAAGGAATAATAATGTCTGAACAAGAAAAGGGCAGAAGAGCAGCGCTAATAAAATATTAAATATTTAATTAAATGCATCTTTTGATCAACCGAAGGTGCTTAATTATCACGGAATGAATTAAAAGAGCTTCCAAGGCTACGACAAAAAAATGAAATAATTATAAATGTTTAATAACAGCGTTTAATATTACCGACAAAGATTAATAAAATCTATCCTTTGTATATAATACTACATATTTTACTTTGATGTTGCTTCAACAATAGCAAAAAAAAACGTAGCCACACATATGTATATATCGTTGCATACTGAGAAAGATAAGCGGCACGAAAGTGGATGTTTTCTGTAATTTAAACATTAAATGCCGTTTGCTAACAACGTCTCGCAATATCGATTTTCAGAGTCATAAGTGCGTGTCAAAGTTTTTCATGTCTCTTTAATTATGCAGGGAATATATAAAACTTTGTTATGTATAACTCTCTTACTCCTCTGAGAAACTAAATTCGCAGAAACTTCTAGATTTTCACAATCATTTATGAGTCAACATTCATCATAATTATTGTAATTCATGTGTGTAACGTTTCTACATATACCTCTCACAAAAAATTAATACTAATATGTATGTGTTCTAACTCGAGATATTATTTATTACCTTTCATTATCTTTCCCCTCCAAAAAAAAAAAAGACAAGTCTCTACTCCACTTAAAAAATGTGCCTTCGATAAAATTAATCTGTAGCAGTACTTTTAAGATATAAACACCACTTGTCAATTGCCTTATTATCTCTTATTAATCTTAATGTACAATTTCAGGATACCTTTTATTTTAAAAAGAGATCACCATCGTAACAAATGATGACTCGGGGAGGAGGAGGAGGTCAAAGGAACGTGCGATCGAGATAATGATTTGCCGAGTAATCCCTCGACGCGATCCTCATTACAGTTTGCTTCAGAGTTACCATGGCCAATCGGGACTTTATCTTGCAGGCGTCATCGTTACAACAACGTGGCGTGCCAATCGATCCGGCCGATATCGCGCGAACTTAAGCTGCAACGTGGAAGCTTCCTGGTAAACTTTCCTGCGATTAAGACCGGTAATGTACGAAATTGCGGCGAGATAGCTGCTGCACGCGGCAACCCCTCTGCTCGACTCTCTCTTCCTCGTCGACGCGACGTCGAACCTTCCGCCGAGATTTCGACGCGGTGCTCGCGTTTATCATCGATCGCGTTACTTCCACGTCGACGCTAACCAAGTGACGTCGCGTCGAATTAACACCGGTGTTTCGCCTTTTGCTAAATTACGCGTTAAATTTTCAATTATCGATATCCCATTAAAACGCGCAGTTTTGTTTGGCCGACGCCGGAAGCTGGTGCTGACGTGCGCAACACACGCGAGTACAAACGCAATTCGGAGTAGTAAATATGAAGTAAAGGGCTTATAATTGCGGCAAATTGTTTGCCAAATCCGAAGAGAAATATAGCGTGCATATCTTATTTTATAATAATGTTTAAACTGGTACATATCGATCGCGCGAGCGAAAAATGCATATGCTGCAGAAATTAATTGCTCTACCGTGTTTTATTATTCAACGTTATGAAACAGTACTTGCGCCAGTTATATATATTCGGGACGGCAAATAAAATTAAAATGAGAAATTGGAAGCGAATCATGCTTTACGATAAATCATATCGCGTTACTGAATTTTTGCTATTCCAGCACATTTGATAATTAATGGCGATGCACAGTGGAAAAAAACGAGAAGCCACTAGATTCTCTGCATAGATTTTCATACATTGATCGATATTCTCCGAGTGTTATTACGAACTGATACTTGCGCAAATTTTATTTTTTATACAATCGTATCTATATCATTATAATCGTCTTAACAGAAATGGATCGTACTAGATTAGATTACTAGATTAGATATATTTATTGCCGCCCCAATTGGGGATTACAAGGCGCTTTTTTTTAAAGGAGCGTTCCCAAACCTTTATTCCTTCCTAAATGGATCGTACTAATAGCTTGATATTAAAAAAATCTCAGGATGAAACTCTCAGGGATCGAGAGACCCTAGAATCGACCCTGACCCCTAAGTGTTTTATGGGCCACTGCGTGATACGGCACGAAAGGTTCACTGGTTATCACTGCTGGCCGTAAAATCCTGATCACGTCTATTACCGTTCGTGATCCGCAGTCGAATGTCAGTCAGTCAATTGTATCAATAAAAAAAAACAAGTGAAAAGGTAAAAACGAGCGATATCACCAGGATCGTATCAACAAAGCGTCGAATCGAGTTCGCGACACCCCGGCTAATAAAATCGACCGAATGTCAATTTCATGCGCTCTTTAACGAACAAGCAAACAAAAATATTCCGCACGAGCTCATAAATTTGACATAGTACCCGGTGCTCCTAAATCCGAACGATTTGTATTCCATTTTTCGAACGGTAGCGACGGTATTATTTGTGTCAGTATTATTGGTAGGGTCACGTTTCGAGAAAACGCGCAATCAACGAAATGCTATTTATTGTACATTCGCGAAAAATATAGAAAGCAGATGTCACAGTTACTTTATCACCGCAGCATTGTTTCCCGCGAGTAAATTTTTCGCATCGCGTTTCAGGAAAATCACGCAATTATTACAAGTTAATTAATTAATCGGAAATCTAAACGGCGCGAGAATCGTCGATGGTAGTATCGTAGTATACGGTATCAAATAATTATTTATTTCTCAACATCTGAATAATAAATAAAATAAAAATTATCGCACATTCTCAAAAGAAATTGAGAAAGGCTAGCAAAATATAAGAATAGTATATTAAAAAAAAAAAGATTCGCGATATTGGATCTAAGATACGTAAAACGTAATCGTTGGACAAGGAAAACCCTATTGCCTATTTTCGCCGCGGAATCCGATTCTTGGGCGCTACATTTCGCAAACTTGGTGGAAAACATAATTGGAAGCAGAACGATCCCGAGCACGTGTCCTTGTCCTCCGACGAGAAGGTGCTGGAGGACTATTACGGTAGGTCGATAATCCAATTTCGTATGAAACGAAACGATCGCGGAAGCCATAAACGTACGTCGCCGGAAATTCGTACGCGGAAGAGAACGAAAGGGGATTTCCCACCTCCATCTCCCCGCGACTCTCTTTTCGTCCTTACGAATCGTCTTGCATCGGAGCTATCCTGCGTGTGTAAAATTCCACGAAGGAATTTCTTTTTTTTCCAATCCGCACCCTGAGAAAAACGCAGACGCGACGAACGAAAGCGAGAATTCCGTTCTTTATCGCTGAAAAACGAAACTACCTTCTCTTCGGACTAACGATTCTTGGGGAAAACTTTCGTTTTCCACCCATCATCGTGATGCAGATGGAGAGAAACCGTACGACTTCGGGAAATATTTACCTGGTGCCTCGCTCCTCTCGTCTCGGCCTTCAATTAACGAGTCTCGCTCTCGTTTCTTCCACTCGAGACAAAGATTGGATCCGATCGATAGCACCTCCGTACAGGAAACACTCACACCAGGTATCGTTGCCGAAAATTTGGCCGAGCCTCGCCGCCGAGTCTCGTCGCGTCGCGAGCAGACAGGCGGACTAATGTCCGTTACTACTACTTGTCGTCGAAACTACGGATCGCGTCGCGGCGAGCCGGCTGGCAAATGCATTTTTCCAGTCGGTGAAACAATGCAGGTCGCTGGACTACGATGGCTATCACGGGCGACGGCTATTGATCTACCGCTCGTAAAAAGCTCGCGAGAGAGAGAGAGGATTCGCGCGCGCGACGTTATATTATATATTTTCTCACGAGAGACACTGAGATGATATGTTGCTCGCTTGTAAAGAGCGATTCGCGGATATGTTGCAGATATGTTGTACCGAACGATTCGTCACGCGCGAGTCCCTGAACGAAGAAAATTTCACGAACGTGTATCCTCTTGGATTCTCCGTGGATTCTTCCGGTGTTCCTCAAGTCATTGATATGTTTCGAAGTGATTCATCGCGCACGGAGATTACCACTGGATCTTACCAATGTGATACGTGACGAATCTCGATGGATCGTGATACAGCGTTTCATTAATATCTTTTCAATAACGTTTCATAGGTTTTCACGAACGATTCATCATACCCCGAGCTTGCTGACCATACACCGTGATATTGTTAATCTCGTACGTGATGAAGTTTAGTGGATCGTGATGAGAAATTTTTCTACTCGCCCTGGATCATCGATATCTTTTCAAACAGCGTATCTTCGCGAAGGATTTACTCATCTGCTGTCTGATAAATTGTGACGGCTGATTTTCTGCAATTTACTTTATTCTTCGATAATCGAATGCACACGATATCGTCGAGAAAGATCTTGGATTAGATTCTCGGGGGATGACGTGCACGGTTCCGATATTTTTTTAAATGTACCTTTTACATTTGTATAATTTAACAGAGCCTCGCAGAAACATTTACGTTCGATATTGATACTCGTTCTACTATTAAGCCCACCGGCCGGATTTTGACAAGTGCTTTCGAATATCATCCGACAAGCCGAACATCGCGCACTGCACAAACTCACTTTCTCCAAAATCCCACTTCGAGCACTATTCATACATCTAACGAGTCTTCGAGTCGGGTTATCCGGTCGCGAGAATCCTCGTTGGACTTCGCGCAAGGATGCGGGCAATTTTTATTTTCTCGAACGACCCTCGCTCTTCATCCACGATCCACCTCAGGACGGACCTTTTCGAGATTTCATCTCTCTCGAAAATTCCTGGCTCGCGATCGCGATCGCGCGACGACGTGTCGCGTATACGAACCGGCGCGGGTGCTAGGGCGCGACAATGACGAGAAAGAGAGAAAGAAAGAGAGGAACGTCAGCGGACGCGAAGGCTCGGCACGCGAGTTCGCCGGCCGACTGAAGCACGGTTCGGCTGTCAGTCGACCCCCACACCCGAAACTCGACTCGTCTTCGTCGAACGAGTCCGCCGTCTCCGTCGGCTCCCCCTCGGGGATCGGGGGTGGTTTAGGGGCGCAGAGGGTGGAACGCGGCGAGTGCGACGCGCGTGCGCCAGGTGAATCGGAGGCATTCGTTGCACTCGCTACCTTTTGCCATACTCTCTTCTTCTCTCTCTTTCTCGCTCTGCGAGCCGCGAGAAAAACTTAATAGAGAGACGACATCGATGAATAAACTTATAAGTAGATAATATCCTTTAAATCGAAGAATTATCACGGCAGATGATATAGGGGTTTCTTGTTCAACGATATTCGTGCGGAACGCAATGCGCTCGAAAAGATTTATATCAGGAAAAACGTGAATTTATTAATTCATTTATAAGTAAATAATATAAAAAGTTATAGAAATATTATTTTATATATATTTTCTTTTTAATTCGATAATCAATAGCTTCTATATGAGATTTCCTACATTTGTCTTGCTGATTTTATTTATTCATGCAACATTTAATTGCAATTTGTATTTGATTATAATGTATAGATAATTTCATTATCTTCATTTAATTTAGAACTTTAGAGACTTTATAAATTAATTTTTCTCTTAATATATATTTATATTGACACACTTTTTCAATACAAAATATCGGGTATTAAATAATGCAAAATAATTAAAGCTTAAATACAATTTAACATAATGTGATATCTAATAAAATAGAAGAAAATAATATTATTTATAATAATATACCAACTGCAAATTTAGAAAATAACAAATTTAAGCAGATTTACAGCTATGTTTAAGTAACTACTATTATATATATAATTGAATATAATTATCACTTTTAATGATAATTTATCAAATAGAAATATCTATTATATTTATATTAGAAAATTTATTTGCGCTTACCAAATTAAGTAAAGATTTTTTATATTATAAGAGTAGAAAAAAAAATAAAAATTGCAGCTTTTTTGTTACAGATATATAACATTGGATTGAATTATATAAATTCCATTACAACTAATAGTGTCACGAAATAAAAGTTTTCATTTTTTTCATATTCAATCATATGTCATCATTTCTATGCACAAATTAATTTCAGAAACAGCAACTGCCTTTAAATATTGGACAGACTTCATTCTAACAATAAGAGATTTTATCGCACGTAAAAATATTTGTAACTATTCCTCAAATGCACACACTTCCCATTTATATTGTTGAAATTATAAGGCGGATATATATACATATATTTCGATCGATAGTTCAAACGTATTCTACTTTTTCGAAAATAAAGTCCTATAAAATCATATATTAAAAAGTTATCAGCATCCGCCTTAATTCCAACAATAATGATTAATTATCATGAAATAATGAACGTCAGTCGCGATTAATCAATCAGATCTGTTCTTGAACGTATTCAACGATTTTCCGCGAGTAACCCGCAGAATCTCGGTCCCAAACCGTCTTCCCCTAAATCCGCCAACCATCCCGCTTGGCGATGCGCGTCGACGATTCGATGTGGGAAATCAATCACCCCCGAAACCACTTCCGGCGAACTTTGGAAGCACGTCTCGCCGCGTCGGAGTCGAGATTCCTCGAGATGATCGCGCGCCCGTGGTTCGTTCCGCTCCGTGATGGACAGACATTCGGCGAAGACGACGTACAACGAGGATATTTCGGAATGCGAGATTCATTCCTTTGCCATACAAAAGCGGATTTCTCCTCACATCCACCGATCGATCTATTGCGTTAATTTTCCCGATTCGATTGACTCTACCATTGAATTGACAGTTCGTATATATATTTGTATTACATAGGTTTTACATTTTACGGTTTTTGTTTTAATTCAATGCGATTTTTAACCGTTACATATACATATATATGCTTCTTTCCATACGTTACCTTTCATTAATTTTTACGATTGTTTGAATGTAATGCAATTTAACCTTCTGTGGGTGTATTGAAAGAGAAAATTACGACATGTAACCACAACACCAATAACCTATTTGCATATCTAATGCTTCCAGTGAATTATCGACTAAATATATCGGTTAATACACGGTTATCGCCGTACCAATTCAGTTCCCAGCCAAAGCAGCTCTCATTAATGTTGATGCAGCAATTTCATTAGTTTTCGTAGTTCGCTCATCGTGTGCTCGGAGTAATAAAATCAATTGAAATATCGTGTTTTACGAGATGCGCAACCAACGTACGCAAATAAAAAAAAATCAATAATATCAAAATACACGATACGCGTGTTTCAAAAGATCACTCATGACCTACCTATTCATTAAACGAACACCGAACTCGTCGGGAAAATTAGATCAAATTCAATTTTCCCAAAACGTCACAAAATTTTTTTTTTCCCACCACTTTCATACAGACAATAAAACGCTCGCGGGAACGGGAGGAAAATGAAGAAAAATATCCCCATCCTCGGATGATACTTATTTACGACCAATGGGGGAACCCTTCTCCCGTTCCCACGCTCACGAACAATAATAATAATCGAGATAACGCACGCAGCGGCACTCCGCGAGATCCGTTTAGTCCCCGGCCAAATTGCCAATATTATCAGTTATCGGATTATTATGGCAAATTGTTCGCGTTTGCCTTTACCAACTAGCCTACATGCAGTAACCCCTATGGCGACCCAGCATCCTCGATCTCTCTGTCCCCTTCCCGCGAAACCGTGCTCTATCAGAATCCATTCTATCCGTCTCCCTCCTTCGTACATCGATGGAACCGACGTGCTCGATGCCGCGACCAGGTGCGCCAGGTGTCGTTCGCGTAAGCATCGTGGATAGTACCACTACTAAATAATCGGCACAAAACAATGGCACATGGACATAACGGCGTATATAATAAAACAAGGCAAAATATGTATTTCGCCATTTCCTATCGGTGTTTGCGAAGCTACACTTTATCCGTCTATGTATTTCAACCCATAATACCATTATAAATGTGTATAATTACCCCCGATTGCGCTAATAAAGCATTTCCATGCTAGATATTTGCAATAAGTAATTACCGCACTAAAGCTTTTTAATTTTGTGCAATTTATGACACCGAGAAACAATATTGATGCCTCTCTCAGCGAAAAGATGTTATTTACTATTGTTTTTTTCTAATTTGTTGCCGATAGTTTATGTTCACTTGGTATACCTAAATAGGTATGCGTAACAGGAGTACAGCTGCAAACATATCCGTGTATCGATAACAGGATGTATGCGACGTATACGTACTGTAGGATCATAACATGCTAAGTCTGATATATAGATGTTGCACAGTGGCTGTTCGAGCTCAGGTTCCATAACATCTCTCCACGGAAATATTATGTATCGCCCGCTCCTTATATGTGTTTCGATCGACAAACAATCACTTTCTTTAAATACGCTTCCGCATCATTAATTTTCGCCGTTAATTGCTTCCAACTTTGGTCTGCAGCCGAGTATCAAATAGATAGTTTCAAACTTTGCGCGCAAATCTTTTTAATTAAAAATTATAAAGGGGGATAAGCATATCTTAGAATTGATTCCGCCATCGCGTTTATTTCGATTAAATTTCAATGAAAAAGAACAAGCTGATAATTATTACAATATTATTCGTAACTGATATGTTATATGATTTTTTAACAATATGTCGTATTTGTTTTAGCGACAATGTATAATGTCCGGATTCAGAAATATGGCTAAATTTTAGTTGGAAATCAGCATGATATCTTTTGACAATGAAACACGCCAAATTGCCGTTAAATTTAAGCATTTATCGCAAAGTGTAATTATGCGCTATCTGCGTCAAACGGAATTAAAACTAAGTAGAATGAGATATTAAAACGGAACGACATGATATGCTATCGCCGTCGTCGCTTAACAATATATACATACCGTACCCAGTTCACTAGTCGCCAAACTTTCCGACTACATAATTATGTTGCTTTGTGAAAATGTCGTGAATCAAATATTGAAGCGACAAATTTCAGCGAATATAACAAACTGAGAGAAACAAGGTATTATAATAGACTTTTCGAGATATCATTAAATGAAATAATTTTCATAATAGCATTAAAATCGTCATTCATTAAAACACATAATTATTATAAAAAAATTAATTACAAAATATTTATTATATTATATATTATAATAATTCATTATGCCTCATCATTTCTTTATTACACTACATATTGTATTATCATAATTAATTATACGCATTGTCATAATACATTTTTCTCAAAATTATTTATTATGTAAGACTCTAATTTCTCTAACAAAAATATTCCACGAGATAAGATAATTATTTTTAACTATTTTTCCATTACAAATAATTTCTGCGATACACTTGATGTATGCAGCACTTAATACCATTATGTTATCATTATTTTTAATGCGGCGTCGCGCATATCCACGAAATGAAACAGTGACATTAAAACGAACGAACTGTATCTACCATTACGTAGTGTTCGTAATAAATCACATAGCCCCTTGCCTAGCCGGAGGCGCGGAATTTCCTCCACGAATCTCCGTTGCAATTCGTCAGAAATGCGGCACCGGCAATAACGCGACGACGACGACGATGACGACGACGAGGATGACGATTTTGTTTTAATCATACCAACACTGTCGCTCTTCCGTCAACATAAAAGAAAGAAATAAGCTAAAGAGAAACGCAATTCTTCCGCGAGAAAAGCCTAGAAGCTTAATGTTAAATTATTTTAAGTAATTAAATTCTACTTTTAATTAAGAAATGAGTGCATTGTTTTGCTTTTTTTTTTTCAACCATCTTTATTGACGCAACGTGTATAATTGTATAGCGTTTAAAAGTAAAACAAATAATTAAAGTGATAAAATATTAATATAAATGAAAACTTACAAATGTAAATAATTATCAGAAAAAGAAAGAGAAAAGAAATTTGTTATAGTTAAGTAATTTTAAAAAAACCTATTACATAACCAAATAAATCTCAAGCAATTATATATAACGCAGTTAGTAGTAGCA